ACCTCCAAAACAAATTAAGTTCTTAACCCGAGGTACCACTGGCAGCAGTGTTCGGACGGAAACTTTGTGTGTGCGAAATGTCCAGAAATATCCAGATGTGTGGCAGCCCATGTTGGCAGTGCCATTTTTGCCAATTTCCCATAGAAATAGCTCAAAATGGATCTTCACTGTTTGAAATATGGGAACCCTAATTTATTGAGCGCTGCTTTCTTAATGTGTCCTAAAGTGTCCTAAAGATGGCATGCAAAAGAAATCCAGTTACGATTCAGACAGTATTAAAAGCATGCTGAGTAAACAGCAAATACCGGAAGCAGCGATATAGAATGCAGTCCCAGCTGATGAATCCTAATGGCTGTTAAAAGCCCAGACAGGATGGACATAGCCTTGTGCCTAAATTATTCAGACGCAAGTGCCAGGGATGTTAATGCAGTTTGCTATTAGGCAAAGTGAGGTGGCCATCTCAGGAAGCAGATGACGTGGATCTGGGTGTGGCCGTGAAGTGCTAGAGCACAAAGCCAGGTAGAGATTCTTGGAGGACCACATTTGGCCTCTGGCCCTGAGGTTCCCCATTACTGGGCTAGATGATCCAGACACCTGACTTACCATAAACCAGCTTCATCCATGAGCGCAGCCAGGCCTTTGTTAGGGGGGACAGAACCTCAGTTTGCTATGTATTTTTTATTGATTTTCATTGATTGGGGGACAACTGCCCCTCCCTGGCCCCCTTAGCTACGCCCATGGCTTCATCTGTTCCACCTTCAGTGAACTAATTCAACATTTGGGGTGTGGAGGAAGCCAGCTATTCCCATGTGAATAATGAGAATAGCAGCGGAGGGGCAGGGAAGATGGAGCTAGTCGTGTGTCTCAAGGAAAGCTTCTGCAAAGGCCATACATGGGAAGGAGGATAAACAGCATGGGTGGATGAAGGCACAGCCTGATGAAAAGTCCCATGGAGAAGGAAACAAAGGGAAGCTAGTCAGAGAGGAAGGGATGGATAAGGTCATAAGGAGAAACAAGGGAGAAAATAATTCGGGAAGAAACTTGAGTCTGGAGTTAGCCTGCCACACAGCAGGAAGAAGTGACTTTCTCCATGCAACACCACAAGAAGGGGGTATGAGAAGTTGCAGCCTGCAAGCCATATCTGGCCCACTAGCCCTCTCAAAGCAGAGACATCACCTTGCCAACAAAGGCCCGTATAGTTAAAGCTATGGTTTTCCCAGTAGTGATGTATGGAAGTGAGAGCTGGACCATAAAGAAGGCTGATCGCTGAAGAATGGATCCTTTTGAATTCTGGTGCTGGAGGAGACTCTTGAGAGTCCCATGGACTGCAAGAAGATCAAACCTCTCCATTCTGAAGGAAATCAGCCCTGAGTGCTCACTGGAAGGACAGATCCTGAATCTGAGGCTCCAATACTTTGGCCACCTCATGAGAAGAGAAGACTCCCTGGAAAAGACCCTGATGTTGGGAAGGATGGAGGGCACAAGGAGAAGGGGACGACAGAGGATGAGATGGTTGGACAGTGTTCTCGAAGCTACGAACATTAGTTTGACCAAGCTGCGGGAGGCAGTGGAAGACAGGAGTGCCTGGCGTGCTCTGGTCCATGGGGTCACGAAGAGTCAGACATGACTAAACGACTAAACAACAACAAGCCCTCTCAAGCTGGCCCACCAGACTCTCGCCTTCCCCGCAGGCCAGGGGTCTGCAACCTTTAAGACAAAAAGAGCCACTTGGACCCGTTTCCGAAGAAAAAAAAACTGGGAGCCGCAAAACCATTGCAACATTTAAAACAAATATAGACCTGCATGCGCGCCGCTGCCCTCCGATCTGACAGCGGGCGGGAAGGTGACGTTGGGACGGTGCGTGACTAACGCACGCACCGCCCCCATGCGACGTCACAGCCAGTACAGCGCCCGCCACAGTGGGGAGTGTTGGGGCGCACAATGCGCCTCCTCCCCTCGCTAGTATCCGCCCCGGAGCCGCGGCAAAGGTGTAAAAGAGCCACATGCGGCTCTGGAGCCGCGGGTTGCAGACCCCTGCCGCAGGCCATGCCTCTCCTGTGTGGTCCTGCTCCACTAACTTTTCCCGCACTCAGTACAGAAGCCAGACAGGAGGTGGAAGCACAGCTCCCGTGCCCCTTCTTTGCCAGCCAGAGCAAGATAAAAGTAAGACTTGGTTTCTGAATGGTGCAGTGAGACTCTAGCCAGGGTGGGCCTGAGACATTTGGCACCTGAGGCAGACCCCAAAATGGTGCTCCCCTCCCTGCCAGGGAGGAAAGGGTGATCTACAACAAAAGCAAGACAGGGGAGAGATAGGCATCAGGAATCACTGCTGCTCCAGTGGATCCTGCCGCCTGAGGCAGTCGCCTCAGCTTGTCTCGTGGGTGGGCCGGCCCTGAATAAAGATTGGCATTGGGATCTGCTGCCCGTGTGAATTTTGCCGCCTGAGGCAGTCGCCTCACCTTGTCTCATGAATGGGCCAACCCTGCCTCTAGCACAGGGCAGATGGCACTGGTCTTTTGAGCCCATTTCAGGCTAGCACTGAGGGAAGTGCTTTCGAAAATGAGCTCGAGAGCCTTGAGAGCTAAAGGCTGAACAAGGAAGCTGATGTGGCTGTAGCGGCAGAAGATAGAGATGAGCTTAGCAGAGACACTTTTCACTTGTGTTCATAAATGTTGTTCTGTGCAGCTGTACGGTAGCCACAGGGAGATGCATCACAATCAGAGAGAAAACACCCAGTCACATAATATTTGCAGATGGGTAGATGCAAATTCAGGAATCATAACTATTGTTTGAATGGAATTACATCCCATTATGGTGGGTCCAAGACTCTGATCTGTTGACCTGAGCGCCGCCCAAGGCTAGTGAGACAGGTGGGTTTCCTAGATGGGGCCTGTGTGGCCAAGACACCCCAGAAAAGTCTCCAGCACTCACATTTGCAGCATCTAAGTTGGGAGGAAGACCAGCTGCTCATCATGGCTTGCCAGAGAGCAGAGTTCGTGGAAGTGCTGAAGCCTACTAAAAGGTAAAGGGACCCCTGACCGCTCATCTCGCTTTATTGGCCGAGGGAGCCGGCGTACAGCTTCCGGGTCATGTGGCCAGCAGGACTAAGCCGCTTCTGGCAAACCAGAGCAGCGCACGGAAATGCCCTTTACCTTCCCGCCGGAGCAGTACCTATTGATCTACTTGCACTTTGACGTGCTTTCGAACTGCTAGGTTGGCAGGAGCAGGGACTGAGCAACGGGAGCTCCACCCGTCGCGGGGATTCAAACCGCCGACCTTCTGATCCGCCCAGCTTCTGATCGGCAAGTCCTAGGCTCTGTGGTTTAAGCCACAGCACCACCCGTGTCCCGCTGAAGCCTACTAATGTTCTTCAAAAGCCAGGAAGGTTGGACAAGTGATGGAGCAGTCCTCAGCACTCTTACATGGAAAGTAAGTCCTACCAAAACCAATCCCATATAGACATCAGCCAGTGCTCAAATTATGGGTTCTTCCTTAAAAAAGCTCAACAACTTTCGGGGTGTCCTGGTTTTTACTTTCTGAAATATGGCAACCCTAGTAGAGGGAGGCTAGCCACCTAAAGGTTTTATAGGGTCCCTGGGGTGGCATGGAGGAGTCAGAGGCAGGGTTTGAATATTTTATTAAGGGGTCCTCATAATTATTATTGTATTATTCCTCTTAATGTTGTCAAAATAGGCTTCTTAGTGGTTTACAGGTATCATAAGCAATGACACAACACTGAAATAGAAACACCCATAATTAAAACGTAGAATAAAAGAACCCTGTTAAAACAATTCAGCGAGTCAAACATAAAATTGAAACATTATTGGTATGCTACTTTCGCACAGCAAGCCACGCCTCACAAAGGGAATAAATGAATAAGATATAGCAACATTATCTTATTAATTCAATCAAAGCACACTGGTAACCTTTTAATGAAACATAGCACCAAATTTGCAATCTGTCCATCAAAATATTTAACATATGGCACAAAGACTGAACAATCTGCTAATAATAAACACCAAACCCTGCCAATAAATGTTATTGCTTTATAAAAATGCCAATTCTCAACATTTTGGTCATAGTTTGGTACACCTCTACATGCCCTTCAGAACGCGCTCCCAATGAACCACCAGTACTGGCATTTAGTTGCCTGCTTAAAACTCCTTTGTTCTCCCAGGCTCTCTCTGCAGGGTGATCCAATTATATTAAGCTGATGTACAGACTTGCAATATTTTTCAAACTCGTTGCATGAATGTAATCTTATTTTATACATATATTGTGGATTTATCCTGTTCACTTTTCATGGTGAATACACACACACACACACACACACACACATACATATACATTCTGGTACAACATTATTATTTTTTAATTTTGCAAATATATAGACCAGGACGAAGCTACCCAGGAATAGAGAAAACTTGATTCTCAAGCCTCTTGACAGTGAGGAATTTATCACTCACAGTGGTGTCACTGAGTGCGACCGAGGAATGGGGAGCTGAGTGGTCCTCCGGACAGCTCTAACCATTGGTCCTGCCGGCTGCGGCTGACGCTGCGCAACAACATCTGCAGGACCACAGGTTCCTTGCATGCTTTTAAGTATACTGCATATGAATGCTTGCCCTTCATTCCTGGGGGAGGCTGCATGAAATTGGGTGGCCAATTTTGCACACCATCTATATAATCAGTGCCTGCGGTATTACATCACAGACATGCTCCGGCATTCTGCATCAATAGACATCCTATATGTGCACCACCCGCCATCATTCCAAGCCCCCTCGACAGCGGCCCCCTTACTCCCCATTTTGTCACAACAAAAGGAAAATCGCAACTCCCAACATCCCCCTGCGCCTCTATCAGCCGCCACACCCAGCTCGGCCTTCCCCCTCGTTCCACCACGTGTCTCTTGTCGCCGCCATCCAATCAGCTCGGCGCCCCTGGGCCGTTTCGGCCAATCGGAGCGCGGGCCGCCCGCTACTTTATAAAAGCTTTGTCTGGCTTTCGCCAGCCTCCCTCGCCAACCTCTTTGGAACGTTCAGCTTCCGCCGCCGCGTTCGGAGAAGAGAACCTTGAGCTCCCCAACGTTCTGTGTTTTTAAAAAAAGAGCAAACAGCGGCGTTTTAAGCGTACAAGCTAAAAGTGTGGGGAAGTGATTAAAAAATAAAATCCAAGCAAAATGAGGGAAATCGTTCACATTCAAGCTGGGCAATGTGGTAACCAGATCGGTGCTAAGGTGAGGATGCCATAAATATGTTTCTCGCGTGAATGCAACAGATACTATTTGGGGGAGGGGTGCATCGGCACAATTCGGTAAAAACGGGTTATGGTACTTGCCACGGTGGCATAATCTTTCGCTTTGCACTTAATTTTAAAATAAGGGCAGTAGCAGGAGTCTCTGACCTTTTTTGTTTTTTGTTGTCAGCGTGTGGTCATTGCTAAATATAATCCGATTTTTCTAACGCCGTGCGGCGTTCTTTCGGTTCTCTAGTGCATTGGCCGCCTTTATAAAGCTAGCAGTGTTTACTGGTGTGTGGGTTTAAAAAAATAAAAAATAAAGACCTTCCTCTAAAATAAGGAAGAGGGGGAGTGCCGTCTTCCCGTAATAAATGCCGCGATTTAAAATTAACGGGATTAGACTCTTCGGCGGATGAGTCAACCAGAAAAGCTGTATTATCTCCTCCGTTCCCGCTCGCTCGGCGTGGTGGGGTTGGGCGAGCGAGCGCGCCAGTTGATCTATCGGTCTAACGTTGCGTGTAGATTTAAGCGCCAAATCGGCTACGGTACGAAGGTGCGATTTGAATTTTTTGGGAGGGGAAAGAGGAGGCGGGGAGCAAAAGCCCGGGCTGCTCCATCGCCACCGTGTTTTCCTGTTCTCAAGCTGGGTGGCAATTGGCCCGAATAAAATGCACAAATATGCATGCATTGATCATTTAACCTAAAGGGATAGCGGGTGGGGTGGGAAGATTTTTTTTTTCGGAGGTAAAAAAAAAGCGGCAGAGTAGGGGGGCAACGGTCTGGAATGATCGGTAGGCTTGGGGAGACAAAAACGCGCATGACACAGCTGGAGAAAGCGGGGAGGGGGGTATCTCCAGCAAAAGGGCTTGACTCCCCCCCAAAGACCCCCCCCCCGCGGAATTGATCGAGGCTCAGCTCTACCCGCTCCTTAAAGTGCAAGGCGCAGGATACGGTTTCTCTTCCTTGCAACGGAATGGACCAGATTAGCGCGAACCACGCGGTTGTTCGCCACACCCCGGCTTCCTTCTGGCTTTGGGCGGATTCTGCTTTTAAAAAATATATATATTAGGGTTGGTTTTTGTTTGCTTAACAAAAAGCCCCTCTGCTGCTCTCCCAAGAAAATGGCTTAAAAAACAAAACAAAAAAACCGACACTGATATAAAAACAGAGGGGCCGAAACTCGATCATGGGTGTATTTTGAAAAAGCTGCTACAGTATTTAGTAGCAAAGTAGGTTGGTGGCCGCAAAGCCGGGACCCCCCGGTCAATTGCAACAGCTTCCTTGTCATTTGGGATGGTGCTTTTCCCACCCCCAGATTCAAAGGGGGGAGGTTTGCAGAGTTTGTGCTGTAATGCCCCACTACGTTTCTGCCTCTCCCACCCTCGTGTTCGAGGAAACGTGGGAGCTGATCTTTCCCCTCCCCCACCCGGCGCAGTCAGAGAGAATATCCTTTTGTTTGCAAAAAAAAAAGAAAAAATGGGAGGAAGGAACCGCGAGGTCTCTGTTGTGATTTTGTTGCAACAGTGGCCCGTCGAGAAAGACTTGGATTCTTGGTATCTTCTTTCATTGAAATAAAACGCCTCGTGAGTTAAAAAAAGAAAGAAACGGGTTTGTGTTTTTTTTTTCGCCTTTCCCCTCCCCCCGCGCGCTCTTTCCCGTTTTCTGCTGAGCAAATGCCATTTCTGGCGCCGAATGGCACGCCCACCATCTTCCACCTTCTTTGTCTGCGAGGCAGGAGCACATGGCTGGAGGGGCTGGCGCATTTGCTCTGCTCTTCCCCCCACACTTTAAATTTCTGGGTGCTCTTTGATCCTTCCCTCCCCAGCTTCTTTCCCTCCCGAGTCGAGGCTCCCGGGCTGCTTCTCTCCCCTCTTATTATTGCAAATTGCTTTGGAATGATGACTTTGTCTCGTAGCCACGACACCACTTTCCTCCGTCCTTTGTGCCTGTAATGGCTGCTGTCTGGTTTGGGTGGGTCTCTCTCTTTAGCAAAGGGAGGGAGGAGGGGTTGTAGCACTCTCTCTAGCACTACTTGCTGGAGAAACCAAGATTGAGCCTGTGTGTGTGACCTAAAAAACGTAGCAATCTTGTGGTTTCTCCCATCTGTCGGGAGCATCAAGATAAATCTCTTTCTCCATTTGCTGGCGTGAATAGTAAGAGCATCTTCCAAGCAAAAAAAAATAAAGGAGCCTGGTCAACTTCAGCTGGGCTTCAAGCCATACTAACAAAAAAAGAGAACACTGTATAGTACTGTGTACGCAGATTGGAGGATAGCGGTCTTATTTGTATGCCAGGCAAGACCTGCAAGGAGTGACAGCTCTTAAGGTGTGTCCCTTACAGCAGAGCTGGGAACAATGGAAGGGCGTCCTGTGGTCGGCTGCTTGCCCTTCCCCACAATGCAAATGAAATGAAATAAAGGGGAATTTTGGATTTTCACTTCTGTGTAAAGCAGGACCCTACATTCATCATGCTTTTTAACAGGAAATAGTAAACATTTTCCAATGCTCGCTTTCAGTCTGGTGTAAATTACAATCAGAATGGTGCAGAGCTATTGTGAGGTACATCTTTAAATGAAGGAATAAGCTTTTTTAAAAAATAAAAATTGGGTAGCTGATACGCTTCCCTAGTACAATAGGGGTAAAAGAAAGAAAGGACATCTTGTCAAGAATTTGGTAGTTGTAAAAGAACTATGCAAGCTTTTGGTTTTCACATGATACTTCTCCACTTGGGCAAATATATATGTATTTCTGCTGCAGTCCAAAGCTTGGATATTACTATGTCAATCTACATTGCACCAAGGAACGATTTCCTCCCACATTTTATCACCTTAAATGAGGGGTGCAGTCTTTGCCTGCTTGATTATCTTCCATAAAACCATAGAATTGGAAGGGGCCAGATCAGTGTGGGTGGATTTTACACTGGTCATATCTCCATTTTGTGTGAGACTGGATGTGTGTGCATGGCTTTAAACAGGGACCCTTATGGGAGATCACAGACGTCTATACACATTATGATGGGCAGAAGGCAGGTTTTGCCACCACTGCAAAATGAGTGACAGTTACTCATTAATATGGGGGGTGAGGAAGAACCCAGATGTATTAAAGGATGGCATTAAGGTTTAAACCTGACCTGCAAACCATGCTTGCTCTTATTAGAATGTGGTGGAATGTCAGTAAAGTTGTAGCTTGGAAAGGCTACAAACTGACTTGTGTCTGGTTAAAAAGAATGGTATATTTTAAACACACACAGATTGAGGTTGAGGGCATAAGGTTGCAATTGCAGGCAAGAGTCATCCAGTTTGGTGTACTGCCCTGTAGATCTTTGTTGGGGGGGAGAAAGAGAATCTGATTAACCAGCCTTCTTCCTGTTGCACTGGGCTTAGAAAATACTATGGAAATCTTTCATACTAGGGGATTGTGGTCCCACTACCCGAATACTGAGCTGATGAGTAAAATGCTACCTCTTTTATGATGATGCTTGAAGATGCACCTAAGCTAGGCAACCCCACTGCCTGCAATTTCCCAGGTGCCCCACCCAGCTCACCTCTGTATGACCTACATTGCGGCACATTCTTTCGTAGGCAGGAGGGCGTGTTTGCGCATCTCTGCTGGCACCTGATGAATTAAAAAAAAGGAGAGAGCGTATTCTGTCTCCCACAGCCGGGTGCATTGTTGCCATATCTTTCTACAAGAAGAGGAGCATTGATTTTTGGAACGTCCCCCCCCCCATTTCCTTTGAGCAGAAACTTCCTACCAGAGGTACATATTCTGGAACCTCTTAGAGCTGCCAATTCTAGTAGGTGCTTAGCTTGGCTTTTTTTTAAAAAAATGCAGTTTCTTGCCAGCTTGGATCTGCAGTGGGGTGAGGCCAGGCCCAAGTGAGTCTGCCCCCACCCCTGGTGTATTTAAAAATTCATGGCTCTGCAGTGCCTTGGGTGTGTTTGGCCAGCAAATGTCACACACAGGTGTCCAGAGTTGCTTTGGCTATGCCTTGGCATAGACACCAAGACAAAAAACGAGGCCAGAGTCCTTAAGTGGGACAAATTGTAAGGCAACATAAGCTGTCAGATCTTTTGAACAGATCTTTTTAGTTAACATTCTCCATTTAAACAAGCAAACTTGGCCATATGGAGAAATTGGAGAGATTATTGTAAAACAAAAAGTAGCTTAGTTTCAAGTTAGCTTTTTGTGGGTTTTTAAAAAATGTTCTACAAGGGTGTTTGTTTCAATTTGGTGTGACTTGCACTACCTTTTAAGTACCTTTAAAACACTCCGCCCCTCAAAGAATTCTGGGACCTGTAGTTTACTCCACACAGAGTGACAATTCCAATCAACCCTGAAAAAAAACTACAGTGCCCAGAATTCTTTGAGGGGAAGAATTCGCTTTAAAGGTAAAGTGTAAATGCTGCCTTGGTAACTTCAATAGGGCATTTGAAGAAGGGAGCTGTAGGGTCACAGAGTTTGTTTTGTTGCCTCGTTTTCTAACTTAACCAATGTTGGCCACTCAACTCTGGCTCTGAATTCAGCTGAGAGATTATTGTAGCATGGAAGAGAAATCTAACTGGTATACGTTTTAGATGTACGTCTAAAAATCAAAACTTGTGAAGTGATTGTGAATTTCCACTATCTTGGGGAGGGAATTCTCTAAAGAAAATAGCGGATGTTTTTGAATTGAAGTACACCTGTAAGCAGTGGTAGAAACAGCATTACTTTTCTGACTCTGGTCTTCATGGTGGAATGAGTTAAGAAAAGAAAAGATTAGCAGGCATTTTAGCCTCCCCCCTTCCTGCTGCCAGGTCTGGGGTTCCCCTCCCTTTCTTTGAGAACATTTTTGGTCACAACAAAATTCATTTTCTATGTACTGTCCCTCTCTTCCCTGACCCACCCACTCCACTCAATGATAAGACAAAGTTTGGAATTGGGCAAGTATAGATGTTCTGTTGATTCGTGGTTAACTTATCTGTTCTTCACTCCTCTTTCCCTACAGGATATACCTGTC